CAGAAAAAAGGCTGAGCTTGGTCTCTCAGCCCCAGAGGCTGTCTTTGACCTCGCCAAGTGAGGAGCTTGCCTTCCCAACCCTGCTGCAAAGGGAGAAAAGCTAAAGAGACCACGTGTGCAAACTGCCAAGACTTCAGAAGGAAGGCACGGCTTATGTTGCATCCTGGGAGCAAAGAACAGTGTGCTAAGCTTCCTAGTGCCTTCCGCCTCATGCTTCCTATCTCCGCACAGTTTCTTTACCGCTGTGGCTGGCACTGTGGTTTTCTGTCACTAACGGGGAATGAGTGAAGATGCAAAAGGGTCAGAGGGAAGAGGGCAGTGATTAATGGTGTGAGTTTTCCTGTTTTCAGTTTCTCAGCACGTTTTACCTCAGAGTCACGGCATCCCAAAGGTTGGGTATAATGTGGGTGGTAGAGAGGGAGGTTGGAGTTTAGTAGCTGCTTCGTTAAAAGCTTAAGATAGGAAACAACATTAGTCCCATCCTTTCATTAACTGCTGAAGACACGTGAGGCCCAGTGTGGGGTAGGTCACTGTGTAAGGCTTTAAGTCACCAGCAATAAAGGTGACTTCAGATGATATAAACAGTGAACACATGTATTTTACAGGGTACTGAGTAGTGGGGTTTTTTTTATAGCGTCTCCTGGGAATCAGATGGGAAGAGGTAGGAGCAAAGGGGGCCAAGTTTGGCCTGGTGCTGAGCTGGTGAGGCAGAATCCTTACTCAGGGCCTTTGGGGATCTTTAGGAGAGGCCCCTTCTACTGTGTTCACCCCAGGGCCACAGACTAAGGCAGAGCATGCCTCTATCTAGGCACAAAAATAGAATTCTCTTTCTTTAAGTCTCTGTGTAAGTGCCCCCTTATATGAGAAGCCCTCCTTGAGGGCAATATTTGTAATAGCAACACCCTCCTCCTACAGTACTCTTTCTCTCTAACCTTTCTCTCTATTGCTCTCCATAGCACTTAGCACCCTCCGACAATTACTTGTTTATTATTGTTTACTTTTTGTTTCCATCCCTCTTCTAGTGTGCACTTCATGAGAATGTGTACTTTTCAGTTTTATTTTGTTTTGACACTCCCATCATCCTTTTCTGAGGGAATAGTGCCCACCAGACTCTGCCCGTGCCCTCGGGAATGGAGCTTCCTTTAGTCCCCAGGTCTGGCAAGTTTCAAAGCCCCTCCTTTGGGAATTGGGAGGGAGGGTGGTTAGTCTCTTTCCAGGGATTTCCCCCTCTGCCTGCATTCCAAGGTCCTCAGTTAGGTGGCCCCTCCCAGACCCTTAGGCCTGCAGGGCCAGAGCTTCCTGAATACATTTGAATGAGGAGAGGCAGAAATAGGGAAAAGGATGATCAGAGGCCAGGGTCCCTGTGCAGTTTGGATGCTACATTTTCAACCAGGTTTTTTCAACCAGGCTTTGATAGTGGGCTAGAGGGACCTGCTCACTAATCTGGATAAGCAGAGAGTCCTCCTAGCTGCATCCAGACTCTCTCTTCATTTTCTTTTTATTCCTTCCCTCCTTTCACCTGTAGTCCTCCCCCCACCCCCACTTCCAATCCATTTCCCAGGAAAATAAATCTCTGGGAGGAGGCTGGGAAGGTGGATCTCAGAGAACCCTTTTGAATAAATGTCTATATTAATGAATTATTAACTCAGCCACCCATGACCTTAAACCTAGAAGCAGAGTGCTGAGGGCAAGAGGAGAGCTGTTGAATTCTTTATTGGAGTCCTGTCAAAGGCAATGGACCATTCGTTCCCCTCCCCCATCAGGAAAAAATAATTAATACGAAAGGCAAACGGGAAAATTGTACGTCAAACGAAATCAGTTAGAGGGGCTCCTGGACGGGATTATCTTCTTGCTTTCCTGCCCCTTCCTGTCACTCCCCCCCTGCTCTGGCTTCCCACTCGCTTCTTCCCTCCTAGCTAAGGGTACAATAGGCTTCCTAAGGATAATTTTCGGGGGGAAGAATTGCTCTAGAAAGAGATGAATTTGGGCAGTTAATTTATCGATCTTGAAGACGCTTCCCACTTGTTTTATTTTAGAGGTCATTAATCAATGAAGAAAAACACCATCGTGTTCCCCCGTTTGCATTTAATACACCCACGCTCCTTATTTATTTCTCTGGAACAAATTCTCAGCAAATATTCACCCATCGATTGGGGAGCAATGGATTTTTATAAAGGTCTGATCGCTTCCTAAGTGGCCGAAGTGATTTGTTTCCAAGGTCTCCTCCTAAGGAATGAAGAGGAGGAGAGCAGGTTTAAGGGGTGCATATTCTGATGGTCCCTGGGCTCTTTCTATAAACCTGAGAGGTGCCAGGCAGCTGGCGGAGGTGACCAAGCGGGCCCAGGATCAGCTGGCAGATCGCAGGCGTGCTGGGTCAGAGAACACCAAGCCGACGTCTGTTCCAGCCGAGCCCTGCACTGGGAGGACACAGGCAGAGCAGGGGCCCCGCCCCTAGCCGTGGACCGACTGGTGAGATGCTGGGGCCCCTGCTACCCTACCTCTGAGACCTTATCCGTGCGCTTCTGGACTCCCAGCCCTTAGGAATGCCCCACAGAACTTCGGGCCACCTTCTACACGCGAGTTCCCTAAGGCTTTCGGTCCCTAGGGTCTGGTCGTCTGAGACCCGCTTATCACAGGGACTGCTGGGGAGTCCTCGAATCTGAGGGTCCGGGACTCCACCACGCGCTCGCATATTGGGGGAAGGGAGGCTCCGCTGCAGGGTCTGTTTCTCTCCCTGGCCCAGGCAGCAGGGGCAGCCCACCCTCCTCCCCAGGTGGCCCCACACCCCTCTGGCGTCTGTCCAGGCGGTGAGGGTAGAGGTTCGGCTAGGGCGAGCAGGAAAACACACTCGGCACCTCACTGTCTCCATCACTCATTGGTGGTGTGGCTTCAGGTAAACTGCCCTTTCTGAGCTCCAGGGTCCCAGCTGCAGTATTGGTGTTAATAATAATAACGCCTTCCCCGCACGGTTGCTGGGCAGACTCAGTGTACTTGAAGCGCCTACCCGCGCCGGGCGTGTGGAAAGCGCTCACAGGCCGGTCTGCGAATCTTATTAAGAAAGACCCCAGGGTTTCCCAGGGTGTGTGTATGAGAGGAGGGCGAGGGCAAAGGGGCGTGAAGCTGTGGAAGCAGTTGCTGACACTAGTGTGTCCAACTCCTGAGATTTTCAAGTGTTTGGGGGATGGCTAGTCTTGGGGACCGAGCGCGTGTAAGCAGCCGGCGTGGTCAGAAAGAAGAAAGCGGGGAGGTGCTGCGGCGCCCGGGCTCGCATCCCCCGGCGCGGAGCGTCTTTCCCAGAGAACAGGAGTGTGTCTTCGTTTCTCAGCGTTGAACTGGAGGTGAGAGAGACTTGCCCCTTCCCTCCCCGCCCCGCAGCCACCGCCAGGCAGTTCTGCGAACGGGGCAGGTTCACTGCAACGGGCCGGAACTTCACTCTCTCCTTCCAACGAAGTTGCTCAAAGCCCGCAGAGCCTGCCTGGCCTGCCTCTGTGTTCACAGAGCCGTGGATTTTCCCTCGTGGCGTCTGCCTTAAACTCCGGTGCTATCAATCCAGCAGGGGATGACTGATGATGACCTTGTCACAACGATGCCAGTCAAAACATTTTCGCTCCAACGCTGTTCCAAACAGCACCGGGGCATTTTGCATGAGACCAGGAGACACAAAGTCGAAACAGCGTGTTTTCCAGGCTCAGAAGAAATGAATGGTGGGAAGACAAAAAGGAACAAGCAGAAACCAGGAACGTGTGGCTAATAATGCTCCGAAAAGCGGGCACTAAGTTAGTTGGTTTGTTTGGGAAGAGACAAATGCCATTTCTTCTCTTTGAAATGCGGAGAGAACTCCAGCGAGGGGAAGGCGTGCCTGAGAGGCTCCGTTGCACACACTAGGTCCGGGCCTCCACCCCCCACCCAGTACCACCATTGCCTGGAAGAGCTGGGGGGGGGGGGCGCCTAATTCGTGGAAGTGAGACAGAGCAGGGAAGGGCGGGCGTGACCCAAGGCGCTGTAGTGGGCCCGGTGGCCGGTGGGGCGGCACTCCCACCTTCTCCTTGGATGCTAGATTCTGGGGCAAAAGACCTACCCAGGACCCCACCCAACCCCCTACCCGGGGCAGCCAAAGGCAGACAAGCCCCGCCCGTGTCCGAGAACAGCTGTACTGTTAGATGGTACACTAGATACTTGCCTTGGATGCCGACAAGAAGCAGCCAGCACCCCAGGAAGACAACTGGAGAGTGAGTGGGCTAAGTGCTGGGCGGCGTGAGACTTCCCCGCAGCCGCCTTCCAGCCCAGGGCCCAGCTCCAGCCCTGCCGGGACCTGCCGCCCTTTACAGACGCTTGGTCTCCGGTCTCGCAGCTCTCAAAGCCTGCCTCTTCTGCGGAAGACTGAGAAGACGGAGTTTAATTCCCGGGGCGACCCCCTCCGCCCCCAACTCCCCCCTCCTGCCCACCTCCCCCCACTCCCGGATTTGGGCTAGAAGTTGCGTGGCGAGGTACTGGACTCTGGCACCCTGCGGTAGTCCTGGGGGTCAGGTAACAAAATTGAGCCGGGCAAAAGCTCAAACCCGGCCTCGGACTTAGTCCCCTTGCAGTCCGCACACGCCCGACCGGTTCGATCGCCTGGGCTTGTGCGGAGATGCGCTCCGGTTTCTGCGTTCCCATTGCTTTCTGGGTCAGGGCAGTGAGACGGTACCTAGAAAAGACTCGTAATGGGCAGAAAGAGACAACAGGCGCGCGGAGACGTCACGCCAAAATAAAAGTAGGGGGTGGGACAGCGGAGGAGGTATTAGTGCGGGAGAGGCGCACCAGCGGTTTGTGGATCCCGCCGAGTTAGAGCTTCTTTCTCCCCTCTCCCCCTCCCCGTGGTTCTTCTGGCCTCCCCCACCCCCTCCCCCATCCTTCTCTCTCTCTCTCTCTCACACACACACACACACACACACACACACACACGCTCTTGTATTTTGCGCTGTCGTAAAACCCACGTGTCCAGCCAGGAGGCTGCCAGAGAGTGGAGCCGAGGAGCCGGGACTCCGGGGCGCAGCAACCGACCGCCACTCTGTCCCGCGCAGGGCTCCGCCGGGTGCTCCCGCCGCACTGGTTTCCCCGCCCTCCGCAGCCTCCGTAGCCCTTCCCGGATCACTCGGTCTCCCTCCCGCGCGGCCGGAGGCATGTAGCGCACCCGGGGTGCCCACGCTCCCTCACGCTCCCTCACGCTCCCGGAGACACGCGCGCGCACGCACCCGCCGGCGGCGGTTCCCGGTCTTCAGGTAAGGCGAGGCTCCTCTGGGGCCGAGCGTCTGGGGCCCACTGGATAGGAGGCTGCAGGTCCCGGGCTGGGGGCGGGGGGCGAGACTGACCCGCCTCCTAGCGCCGGAGGCCAACGCAACTCCCGCGCTGCGCCACTCCGGCTGGGGTCGGCTCCGGGCGCTGGTTCGGGGCTGGGGCTGCGACGTGTGGCCGAGTTCTGCGGGGAAGTGCCTGTGCCCCGGCCTCAACGGTGCAGGGTGGGGAGCTGGGCGCCCCGGGCTGCGAGGCCACGCGTACACAGCTTCTACCGCGGCCTCAGAGTAAACTTTGAGCCCCAGAGGAGTTGAAGGAAGGAGCCGCTGACCCGGGCTGCCGCTGGCGAAGCCAAAGTCTGTGGCTCCCGCTCCGGGGCTTCGGCGGCCGCCCTGCTCGCCCCCCCTCTTGCGCCAGGCCCGGGCCCGGCTCACGCGCACCCTCCTCTCTGCCCTCTGCCCCCAGCGCGAGGCGTCGGACATGCTGAAGCCCGGAGACCCCGGCGGCTCGGCCTTCCTCAAAGTGGACCCAGCCTATCTCCAGCACTGGCAACAACTCTTCCCGCACGGCAGTGGCGGCCCGCTCAAAGGCGGCGGTGCCGCGGGTGCCCTGGGCGCGCCACAGCCTCTCCAACCGCCGCCGCCGCTGCCGCCGCCGCCGCCCCCTGAGCGCTCGGAGCCGCCGCCGCCGGACAGCCTGCGCCCTCGGCCCGCCTCGCTCTCCTCCGCCTCCTCCACCCCGGCTTCCTCCTCCACCTCGGCCTCCTCCGCCTCCTCCTGTGCCGCCGCTGCCGCCGCTCTGGCGGGTCTTTCGGCCTTGCCCGTGGCACAGCTCCCGGTGTTCGCGCCTCTGGCCGCCGCCGTCGCCGCGGAGCCGCTGCCCCCCAAGGACCTGTGCCTCGGCGGCGCCGCCGGCTCGGGGCCCTCCAAGTGCGGCGGCGGTGCGGACGGCCGCGGTGCCCTGCGCTTCCGCTGCAGCGCGGAGGAGCTGGATTATTACCTGTACGGCCAGCAGCGCATGGAGATCATCCCCCTCAACCAGCACACCAGCGACCCCAACAACCGTACGTAGCCGCAGCCCGCGCGCTCTCTCCTGCGGCGCTGGCGCCCGTCTGGGAGGCGGGTGGGAGGAGAGGGACCCCGGGGGGCGGACTGGCGCAGGCAGTGGGCCCCGCGCTGCCCAGAACACCGTGGCGAAAGTTTCCTGGCGTTTAGAGAAGAAAGGAGAGCGGATGGGGGGATCCGGTGGCACTTCGGGGGTACCTCTCAGCCTCCCCTCACCTTCTGGTTCGCAGCCCCAAGTGTGTAGGACTTGAACCGCCCGTGGGCCCGGCCTTTCACAGTCCGCCCTTCCACGGGACAGCGCCCCGGGAAGGTCCGCTAGTTAGCCGCGCGATGGGGAGTCCGGAGAACCGGCCGGCCTGGCCATAGTGGGGACGAGATAGGGGCTCAGAATTCATGAGGAGCGTGGATTCCAGGGCTGTGTCTTCTCTCTACCTTCTGGAGTTAACTGCGTCAGTTCGTTTTCGGGCCGCGGGGTTGTCTAGGGGAAGGGCCGGGAGCTGCTGGCTAGCCCGGCCCCGCGGGAGGAAGAGTTTTGGTGGTTGACACAGGGTCAGTTTCTCTCTGCAGGCAGGCGTTATTCTTAGGTCTACCATTTATTTAGAAGAGGAAGGAAAAAAAGCCAGCTGCTTAGTGAGAAATTTTTCATGTTCGGGATAGGGTCGTTCTCTGCGGACCCCACATTCTCCTTGCACCCTCGACTCTGCAGGCATTCCCATCTCGTAGCCATGCTTGAGGGCTTAGTTATTCGTAAAATCTGGGCGACAGCAATTTAGTTTAAGAAGTCGAATTCTCCTTGTCCCCCAAGTAAATCGCAGATGGCTAATTAAACATCGGGTCTCATGCAGCTTTGGGTCCTATATGCATAGTTTCACGTGCTCAATCACAAGGTTTTGAAGTAAGACTCTCGATGAAGACCAATAATGTGTACGCTTCATATCTGATTCTTTTTTGGTAATTTCAAAAGTTATGATGTGTTTACACTTAATGTGTTGGGCCAAGCGCTGACTGTACTTCCAGAGAGCAGAGACCTCTGGAAGAACGTGAAGTCAGGTCGGAGGAGCCTGGGCGGGAGCCATGTGGAACCTGAAAGATCACTCCTCATTTTCTTCCTCTCCTTCCTCTATCTAGTGTCCGTGTGAGGATCATAGACATTTATTATTTTATTTTGAGTAAGTCCCCTCTTGCAGAATGTCTATCACTCTGTGGACTTTTTAATTCGTTGTAAAAGCAAAATACCTCCAGGTTAGAGTTATGTGAAGGACCCCAAAACCGTTACTTTGATGAAAAAACACGGGGTATGAGCCTAGTGCTTACGTTGTATTAATCTTTTCATAATGATGGGGAATAATTGTTCTAATGAAGATGACTACGACTAACAAAAAGAGCGGTTTACTTTTTTCCCTTTCTAGAATCTGAAAGTAAAGTACTGGTTTAAAATGAGGGTTTCCACTCACATTTGCTCTACCGTTGAGAAGTCACTTGTATTCCGGAGTTTCAGAAAAGTTTAAAAAATTGTCTTCATGGATTAAAAAAATACTTATCTCCTGCTGAATTTCTTGAATGTGTTGCTTTCAAAGCAGTTCATTAAAACGTGGAATAAAAATACAAGTGTTTTGAGACAAGGCATTTCTTACAGTTAAGTGTAGGTATAGTCACTGTGGGCTGAGAGTACTTTATCAAGCTTGCAGTTTCTCTTCTGCATGAAATCCACTCGGGGAAAAGACACCAGCAGCGCACCCCAAACTCCTGGCTGGGTGTTGAGCTTCCCATGCTGTTTACAGTGCAGTCTTGAGATGCGATATATTCTCATCAGAGAAAAACCTAGACTAATGAGAAAAAGAATCGGGATAGATTTCTAATTAATATATAGCTCTTTGAACCAGTTTGTCGCCTAGGTAACTTTTTCCCCTCTGGCTAGAGGAAATGAAGTATAATTTATTTAAATTATTTCCATAATGTTAGTCTTTTGGTGTATCTTTTTGAGTCCAATCGATTGCTTCAATATGCAAAGTGCAGGAGAAAAGACATGGGGGGGTGGGGAAGGAAGTCAGATTGTCCCATTAGAGTTACACTTTACTTGCTCCCTAATTAAAGGGCAATTGGGAAAGAGAATAGAAAGCAGGGGTAGTTCTGTGTGATGCTGAGAGACCCGGTCTCCCATTCTTTCAGGAACTTCTCTGAGCAAGCACAGGCATGCATTTTAAACTCTGGGGTGTGTTTTACAAACATTAAGTGAGGAGTGATTGAGTTTAATCCAACCAGGGGCTCAGAAGAAATCAGAAACGCAAAGGATGAGAAATTATTTCCCTAGGCAGAGCTCTTCCCCTTCCCATGTTGTATTGGGGCTTGGGGGGGTGTGGTGAGAGACAGGCAGAAGGGGAGCATCTATTAATTTCTGACATGTAGATTTTCCTGTTTTTTTCCTTTTAGTCTTTTGCTGTCTTCTAAAAGAACTCTGTGAAGAGACCACTTAGCATTGTTTCATTTTGTTACTTTGTATTGAGTCATTTTCTCTCTTTGCTACAAGGCAAAGCATGGGGCCTCCTCACTTCTCTATTCCCTAACAAGAGTAACTTTTTGCCTGGAAGCAGCAAACCCAGTAACACTTGTGAATCAGTAACAGTATCCTCACCTTGAAACTTCATCGGCAGCCATGGGAAATGCCATAGCGAAAGGCCTTTTAGCCTTCTTTCCCACAAAAAGATTTAAAAGCACTAGAAACCATACAAGCTAGCTGAGCGAGCTGTTTCCGTTATAGTATTTGTTATCTAACTCCATGGATTCAATTCATTCTGTGATTAAAGTACAATTTCCACTGAAGCTCTAAATGTTTAGCTGCCTCTTCTTTCATCTTTTTAAAATCGGGTGGGGCAGTGTGTAATATAATTGGGGGATGGGGTTCTTTCTTTCTCTTCTTGTATTACTGCCCTCATTGCTGCTGGGTTGCCTGAAGTGACTGATTCCTCGGGGTCTGTGGCAGTGGCCCCTTCTGGGTTTTGGTGTGTTGTCTGTGACCCTGTCACTACTTTTGGAAGGTAGTAAGTGGGGGCCATCTGCATGCCTCATGTTTGCGATTGTACCCAAAGGACTGAGCCAATTAGCTTTTCATACCTTTTGCTGAAGTTCTTCCTCTCCTGTACCTGGCAGGCAAATGAGAGCTAAACCCTCACCCAGACTCTCTGCTGAGTGTCCGGACATCCTGCCACTTTCCCAGCTGAAGGTGTCTCTGTCCTCCCAGATTAGGGGAGCCCTGCACACAGCAGTAGGGACAGCAAGGGTCCCAGGGCTTTCCCACTGGTGGCACCACCCTTTCCAAGAGTTTGAGGAGAGTGGCCAGGGGAGAGAGAACAATCTGGGTCCAACACCGTTTTTGAAGAAGATAAAGGAGAGTGAGTGTTTTCTGACATTCTCTGCTCTCCTCCCACACAACTGGAGAACAAAGGTCCTGTCTGGTAGCGTCCTGAGCCCAGGCACCCGCCAGCAGGCTTTCCTGCCGTGGAGGCACACCGGCTGCACGCCCAGTGTCAGGGCTCGCAGTGGCCAGCCAGTGACTTGGGCTTCAGGTCTGGTCCCCGGTGGGAGGGAGGCTGGGCGTCAGTGTGTGGGCTTTTCTGTTGTTTTATTTTTCTTTTCTCTTTCCTCTCTTTGTGTGTGCAGGCCCAGCCCCATCCCATAACACGCATGATTTAGTTATGTTACATCATTCGTTATCTAGCGCCCTGAAACTGAACATAGAGCCATATATTAGATGGAGGTTAGAAGAGGTGGCGACTGTTTATTTAAGGTGATAAAATGGTCCATCAGCAGTAATCTCCATCGATATGTGCCACCAGGGGATGAAGGATGAGGGGACAAGCCACAATTAATTGCCCTATAGTTTTGTAGGAGCGAGTGGAGCCAGCCCAGACCCGCTTCGATCTCTCGCGCGCCTCCTATTCATCATCTGCGCATTGTATTGTATATGGCGGCTTCGCCGGGGCAGGGCCGGCAAGGTTTATCTCCAGGATAGTCTCTCTCCCGCACACGCGGGCACTCCCCTTTAAGTTATTAACACAGTCATCGAGAGGCAAATAAAATCCACATTTCCTTCTTTTCTCCTTCTTTTCCTTTCCCCTGTTGTCTCTCTTGGCCCCGGGGCCCAGCCAACAGCCACAGCAGCCACGAAGAGCAAGGACAACCCACGCTTCCGAGACTGACCAGGAGCGTTAAACTCGCCGAGAAAAAGCCCTCTAGACTGGTTTGCGCCAGCTGGGCCTCCCCTGGGTCCCGACCACAATCGGCTCCCTTTCGCGGTGACTCGGCTAACTCATCCAAGTCTGGATCTGCTTCTAGACCCTATCCGAGGAGCCTAGAAGACCCCTGCCGGGCGGAAGGAGAAGGCCTGGTGGGTGGTGGGCATAGTGGGAGTCTTCGGATTTCTGTGGCAGGGGCCTCGTCTGGCCTTGCAAGAAAACCCTATGCTGGCAGGAAGTGGCTGAGGCCTTCAGAATGCAGAGTAGGTTGGGGACCTCCAGCCGGCAGCCTGCCTGGTTGGTCACTGACTCGCCACCCCAAACAGCCAGTTGCACGGGGAGGGCGAGGGGAGAGTGCTGGCTGAAGCTAGAGAGGGAGGAGGGGGCGGGGGCGAGGGCGTGGGGGCGTGAACCCTGGTGCCAGAGGTTCCCAGCTACCCAGCTCTGCCCGCGCTCTGCCCGCGCTCTGCCCCAACGGCCAGCCCCCTTCCCAGAAACAGCCCGTATTTCTGTTGCCCACGCCCAGAGCACAAGAGGCGCTGCCAGTAGGCGGCACTGCTGGGGCAGCATCACTGGGCAGCGATCGATAGGCCTTAGCCTTGTCGGCTCGGCCTGCGAGACTGAGGGCTGCGACCTCAGGGGTGGCTGGGGGGGATTTATAGCCCCGCAATTACCTCTGCCTAGGAAGGGAGGGAGTCTTTTTCGGCTGCTCCTTGGTTCTCTTTCCAAAGGACAGTGAGGGCTGTGGGTGGCTGGGAGAGTCACTGGGGAACCAAGGCCTGGCGTGCTGGAGCCTGCGGCTTTCCGTGCGCCCTAGCTCCGCCTGCGCTCACACGTATCTGTTGGTCTCTTCAGACACCAAAAACACCCTGAAACATGTTATATTTCATCTTTCTTAGACGGACAAATGAAAATACCAGGAAGAGAAAAAAAACCCACCCCATGGCCTGTTTTGCCCCCTTTATCTTAAAATAGATCTATTTTCAATCACAAAATTATTACATGCACTTGTACAAACATTCAAACAATAAAGAGGCTGTGACAAGAAGAGTGAAGGTCTGCTCTTCACTCTGCGTGGCCTGGCCTGCCAAAGTCTGTAGGCGACTGAGTCTGTGAGACAGTGAGTCCTCCTTCCCTTCCTCGGGGGGCCCATGAACAGCAGCACCGACAGATTTGTTCAAGACAGAAGAGGGACCAAATTTCTTACATTTGAAATGCTAAAATGGCATTTCCAAGTATCTTGCTTGGATAATATACTATTTCTCACAGACATAGAAAACCCTTTTTGAATAATAATTATGAACTTGTATAAAAACTTACCCTGATTTTAAGGGGAAGTAGGAACATTTATTTGCCTCTCTCTATGAGTACAAATAGACTTGTATTATGTATTGCTGGCATGGAATGTGGTGTGTAATATGTATTATATATGTGTGTGTGTAGTTTGGGCATCTAGCCCACCTCTCCCTCAAACCTTTTCATGTAGGTGTTTTTGACTTGCTGTCTGGAAAACACTCAGCTAGAATGTTTGTCTGCTTGTGGCACCTTTGTCAACCCCAAGTAATCACTTACTTGTTTTAAATATCCTCAAGCTTCTCTGGGACTCCAAGACATATGTCAGAAGCCAAATGGTTTCAGTGGCAGAGCTTTGTGTGTGAAAAACAGAAATGTTAGGACACACCATGTATTTTGATGTAATTGGCAGACTTTTCCGACAGAATATTTTGATATAGCACAGAGTGGTTTATAAATTAGGAAGACTCGTGTGGGGTGAACTAATGCATGTAGGCTTCTAAATATTGGGAGAGCTTCAACTTTTCACTCTGCAAAATGCTAAGTTTTTTTTTTTTTCAACACCTCATGGAGACAAACGAAACTTAAGTTGAAGAGAACTTTAGAGAACTTCTTAGAGAAAGGCCTAACCAGAGTGTTATCATTAATAACAAATACCCAAACATGCTTCCTGGCCATGGGGGTGGTGGCTGAGGTTGGTACTTTTGTTCCTTACTTTGTTACTGATATTGCGGGGGTGACTTCCATGGTATGGAGATGCTGAACTTTGGCAGAATCTCTGGCATTGTGTGGTTAGGGGAGTGAATACTAAACTGCTTTTGCTTCTCACCCTTTGTTTCATTGAGCCAACCAGAAAGGCACAGTCAGTTAATCAAAAACTTGGGGTGATTTATTTTTAGGGGCATATGGCCTTTGATTGTTGTCATTTGTTCTAAGCCGTTTTTTGCTAAGGTGCTGAAAGGCACTGTAATTCAAAATTATGGATGTTATCTAATTATTTCCCAATTTATTCCTTTACTTTAACCCCCAATCAAGAGTGTGGGAAGGAACAAGAGAAGTCTTTGCGATTCAGCAATGCGGCAGCAATTGTTGTGGCCTCCACATAGTGACTTCAGTATCTGAAGTGAAATATTTCAATTCTGTTGACTGAGTTACGATGGATATAAAATTCTCCCAGCTCTTACAAGTCTTCCAGGATCTCTAGATTTGGAGGCTTTGAAGTCAGGCAGACCTGACTGCAAGTCTTTCACTACTAGTTTCTGGTGTGTGGTTCATGGTCAAGTTAACATTGTTCATGAAGCCTCAGTCACCTCATCTGCAAAATGGGCATCATGACCCTTAGGTGATACGGTGATTGGGTCAAGGTAGATGCCTGGCATATAGTTGGCACTTGCTAATTATGAGTTTTTGTCTTTCCTTCCTTTACCCCCTGATATGGAAGTTTTTTCCCCAGTCAGCAGCTTGAGAGGCTGTGTGAAGCAGATGTGTTCTGGAAGGCTTGACAGGTGGAAATGGATGAAAATACCTTCTACCTATGTCCTAAGGTCAAAAGCAGAATCTGGCACAGCTTTTACATTAGTCTGTGTTTCTGGAAGAGGGCTCTTTGTGTGATGGAGGCCCAGAAACACAGACACTTCACTACCTGCAGAAACAGATTGCTGCTTTTCACTTGAGAGGCCTGGGGACACCTCCAAGAAGCTGCAGCCAGAAGGTCCCCTGATTCCCCGAGCTCTCTCGGGAGGAGTGGAGGAGTAGAGGAGTAGCTGGCCCCGGAGAGGCGCTGCTGACCTGAGCCCCTTCCTGAGACGGGATGCTCAAAGAGGCAACTCCAGCTCCCTGGGAAGCAAATGGCAAAGTGAGGGTTTGCTCATCATGCTGGGTTTTGATTCGGTGTCCCTTCGTTGAAGATTCTTCAATGACTCACTTTGTCACAAGTTCCTTGGGCATTTTGTCTGTTTCAGCACGAAGAGGGTACACCCTGTGAGGTCCACGTGGTCTGGCTTGACCAGGGCCGGGCCCAGGAAGGCAACCCCCACCCAGCACTGGAGCCGCGTACCCGCTCCTGCCCAGCTCTGGCCATCTCCCCCGGCTGGGACTTGCTCACAAGCAGACCCAGTGCCACAGAGCTCCGTGGCTCCGGGGCGCCACTGCTCCCCGGGAGGCTGGGCCAGAGAGGCCAGGCTGCGCTGGCGGGCGCCGAGCCTGTCTACCCCAGGCAGGTTTGCCGGGCCGGGGCGCAGACGCGGCGGCTCCGCCAGGCCCATTAATAACCCGGAGGGCGCTGCGATCCGACAGCGCGGTCGCCCAGGCTCTGCTTCCCGCGGCCGCTTGGCCTCTTACCTCGGGTTCGACTCGAGGGACCGTCGGTGACTACAGCCGGCCGGCCGGCAGGGCGGGGGTCCCTTCGAGCTCTGGATGCTCTGGGGAACATTGGAGAGAGGCAGCTCCACAGCCCTCTCTTTGTAACGCAGGGTGATAGCATTTAGCTTGGAGAATCAACGGCCTGGGCGGGAGCTGGGGCCCTCTCCATTGCACCATTATTCTGATCGTTAAAGAACCATTACCCCATTGTTAAATTTGCTCTTCATTTCTTTTTGTCTTCTGGGAAGAGCTGACAGGAAACCACAGGCACCCCCAAACCGCCAGAACAGCCCCCCTTTCCCCATCAATCCCCACCTGGCTGACCTGCCTAGAGCAGGCACTGTTAGGACCCTCGAGTGACTCCCGGGCGCCCTGGGTGGCGTGTCCGGGGCTCGGCTCTGCCTTGCGGTTGGGGCGCTCAGGCGCGTGGGTCAGAGGAGTGTGAATGACGCCCCCCAACAGACAGATCGCCCACCGCCCCTGGTAATTTTTGAAGTAACTCCTATAATTATAAAAAGAGGCAACCCAAATATATCCAGGCTACCAATGTAGAGTCTCTCCAAAATATTCGATTGACAAGAGTCGGGCTTTGTTGTCGGGCTTTCTTCGTGGTACAAGGACAAACACCCTTTGAAACGCCCGCTAGAGAGAGAACCCGGGGAACAGGGGTGGAGATCGGAGGGAACTAGAGGCAGAGGGAAGGGGGAGAGAGCGAGAAACTGGGAAAGGGAAGCCTCAGGCCGTCGGTTCGGCGGAGTCTACAGCGCCACTTCTTCCCAGCCCGGTGGGCTTTGGGGTTCCCGGTCCCGACCTTATTATACCGGGCGGATTTGGGTGCGGCGATTTCCAGGGCGGTGTGGTTCGGGTTCACCTCTCCCCCTACTCCCAGGAGCCTCAGCGCCCTCACGGCATCACCTCCTTCGCAGGTGCTTACCCGGGGCGGGGACGCTGCCGTCTTGGGGGTTTACCCGAGGATGGGCCACCGGAGTTGCGGAGTTAACCTTTTCGTCCCCTCCCTCCCGCGTGTCTCTGGCAGGTTGCGATATGTGTGCGGACAACCGCCACGGAGAGTGCCCAATGCACGGGCCGCTGCACTCGCTGCGCCGGCTGGTGAGCACTGGCAGCGCCGCGGCCGCCGCGCCCCCGCCGGAGCTGCCGGAGTGGCTGCGAGACCTGCCACGGGAGGTGTGCCTGTGCACGAGCACCGTGCCCGGCCTGGCCTACGGCATCTGCGCAGCGCAGAGGATCCAGCAGGGCACCTGGATTGGGCCCTTCCAGGGCGTCCTCCTGCCCCCAGAGAAGGTGCAGGCCGGAGCCGTGAGAAACACGCAGCATCTCTGGGAGGTAAGTCGCCCGCCGCCCAGCACCTTGCACCAGAGGCAGAGCTTTGGCCGGCAAAGAGCCTGGCCCTTGGAGGGTGGCTGCCTCGGGGACAGCCTCCAGCGTTTCCTAGAGAGTAGTAGTGGGGGAATAGGTTTCTCTGGTCATGCAAACACCGGTGTTCGCACCACCTGCATCAAAGCGGTGCAGAGCCCCACCTCACACTACAGCAGCCCAGCCAGGAAGATGGGGCCTGCAGGTTTCTGAAAGTGGAATCACCTCACCTTAGGGAAGGTGATTCCAGCTGGGATGGATTTGATCTTTTATCGCCGGAATCTTGAGAAAAAGAGAAACCAGCTGAGGAGATGGAACAGAAGAGCTGGGGCTTTGGGGGTGTGAGCCAGGTGAGCTTTGGGTCCCATTCTAAGCTCTTCCAATATGTTTTTGTGCCCTGGGCAAGAAGGAACATCAGCATGAATAGGAGGAAAAAAAAGGGAGTCGGCTCATTTCGTCAGATGAAAACAATTTTGTAAACTCTCAATCTGAGTCACTGCAACATGTTTCATTCATAACTTTCAAAGTTCCCGAAGTAAGCTAATTACAGTGTTGTGACCATAAATCATAAATTCTGGTTCTTCTCTGTTGTACTTTGTAGTACAGCAGGGCAATCTTCAAGAAGATAGAAAACCAAAAGGGAGAAACTTTGAGCATTTTGGTGTAACCCAATTGATGAAAATGCTTCAATAACACAATCTTAGCTGACATTATTATTTAAAAATAAAGAACCTCTTTGAAAAATTTTAACCTGAGCTTTCTCCCAAAGCTTCATGGTTAATCGGTGAGATCTACTCGGGAAAAGACAGACCTTTAGCTTGTAGGTAATTCCTCCACTAATTAGGCACCTCCCACCTGTGGAGTTCTTTATGCAATACCAGGTGCTGGAGGTCTTACCTTTAAGGGCAATATGTAAATCTGACCAAGGCCAGGTAACAGAGTGGAGTGGGAATAGCCAGACAAGAAAGTTTCTGAAATGCCAGCAGCCAAGTTGGCATGGACCTTAGGGCTCCATTAATGGGTTGTCTCTACCGAAGCTTGCCCCTCGTACTTGGCTCGGTGGCCTGTCAAGACGATCATTTTCAGTGTGAGCTGCCTTATATTCACTAACTAAAACTCATGGGACTCAATAATCCACTCAGATTTTTGCTGAGCACTCATTCTGCCCAGCACCATGTTAGGCCCCGGAGGTACCGTGTTGTGAAAAGCAAACCAGGTCTCCAGAACCCTTACACAGGTATTGACAGTGGGGGTATTGAGGCCTGCCTCTGCAAAGCCTCCTTTGATGGGGAGGAGCTAAGTGTATGAGCTCACAGCTAAGCAGCCCAAGGTGACTTGTGGGCTACTTACCCTATAGGGTGTGTATGGGCTACGTGTCCTTGAGTTACCTCTGGTGCCCTGTGCCCGGCTCTCAGATTCCATTTCCCTCCAAAACTGTTGTTGGAAAATTATACATTTTTTTAGTCTTCCTAGATAGGATCCTTAAGGAGGAAAATAAAAGTTAGGCATACTTATTTTATCAAATAGTCCTTTTCCTTTTTTTTAACAGAATTTTTTATAGGAAAAGAGGGCAGGAGGAAATGGCTTGGTACACAGAGGCAGGTTACAAGTTAGAGGAATAGGGAAAAAAGAGACACGTGGGAAGTAATCAAAGCATCTGGTTTTGAAACATTTCCCAGTTGGTTTTTGTTTCTGACTAATTAGTTGTAACCTCCAATGCGGTTTAAAGTTTATAAAACACTTCTAGGCACTTTTCGTGTTACGTCGGTGTTATTAGGAACTCTAACACCATACAGTTAAAGATACGCCAACGCTTTTCTGAGGAAATATTAAAGCAGTTGTTCAGCGGGACAGATTTGCTCTATCTGAAACTGTTAAAACTGAAGACTATCGCCCTTTGATGACTTGGAGTTAGAGTGCCAGAGGATAAAGCCATAAACATGAAGAAAATCCTATACTTTACCTTTGTTGTTTTTTCTTTTTTCTAAATGGCTTTGGATAACTGGGATGTTGTCAGGAGCCCACTATACATATAGAATATGACTGATATGTATTAACACTAAAAACATTGATTCTTTATTTTATATCTTTACTTATACTTGATGAAGTTTACATCCCGTTGTAGCAAAGGGACTGGGGAATTTAATCAGTGTTTGTTAATGTTGCTGATACTTGACTAGACATAAAGTGAATTTTACCTGTTACTTGCATGTCTGAGTTGAGTGTGTTGGGGGTGATGGTGCATGGAATTGGCTCTGTGCTATAAAAAGTAAGTTGCTGGGAGTCTGCTTGAATGATCTACAGGTCCCTTCCCCTAACTGAAGGCAGTCTGTTTGTTTTTTATCACCTGTAAGAACAGTTAGAATGACATACGTTTAGGAGATTGAAAGGATGTTAAAGTGCAGCCATGAATGTATTAGTCTCCTGAGAGATCATATAAAATGTAGCTGACTGGGGCCAGGTAACTTAAAGTTGTTGTCCATTCATAAGGTAGAATGCTTGCTTTAATAGGTTTCAGTTTTTACTAGGGTACTTCTTTTTAAGATATGAAATATGAGTTTACTTTTAAACTTTATGATCATTTTTATGAAATGTGACTATTTGCATTAAGTTATACTTATAATGGAAGATTCTAAATGTTGAATTGTTCCTTAAGTTTTATTCTTTTCTTTCAAACTTAAATTCAATTGAGAAAAAAATTTTAATTCATTTTATTATTTATATTAGAATCGGTAATTGGAATACACTGTAGGTCTATACAAAACTTTTGGCAATAATTATTTAATGACTCATGTAAAAATTATCCCCTTTAAAAACACACTCTTTTAGATATCTTCCAGAATATCAGATTGACATAAAGCAGATCTTTTAAAAAAAATTAAAAGCAGTTGAATCATGAGTATTTTATTTTAAAAGTCAACTGGAATCGTTTTTCTTCCTCACATTTTTTTTTCAACTCACTCGCTGATGAAGAAATGTCTTTATATTTAGAGTTCAATACGCAAGTCCTGATGGATCTTACCAGGGTTACTTATCTTTATTTCAGTACAATAAATGGATTGCTAATCTTTTCCTGTCACTGTTTCCAAGTAGATGATGGATTTTTGTTTCAGTTTACAGTTCATTGTTTTTAGTATGGTTGTACTTTATTATACACATGAAGGCTTATTACAGAAAAAATCAGATTCACCTTAGTTACTCCTTTTGTTTAATAATTAAAAGCTCTGTTTTCTTTGTAGAAAAATGACTTTTTAATATTAAACATACATTAGCTATGAAGAGCTTGTTTGGTTGGTTTATAAGTGTGTTGTCATGTTTTAGTAATATTTTCTTTGTGTATAATCCTGATTCTTAAAAATACAGCAATTTAAAGAAAATTAAGTATTTCTTTAATATGTTTTGACTCTTTTGAGTGCTTATGAGAAGTTCTAGGAGTTTGGGTTTTTTGGGTTTGTTTTTTAGCAATCAGGAAAGGTAATTTTTTTTTTGTCATTTAAGGAGGTTAATAAGCTAAAAGTGAAATTATTAGTCTCTTTTCAGCCAAATTATTTTAGAATCAGAATTTTAATGTGTTCTACAACAAATAATGAATTCAGATAGTTTAAAGCAAAAACAATTACAGGGTGGATTAAATAATCACTTGCCTTGCTCACATACATTTATTCCAACAAGACTTGGATGCATGTTGTATTTCTAGCCTTTTGGATGTAATGGGAAAAATCTTCCTGAATGTTTTGCAAAGAAAACATAGTCTTTCTCAGCAATTAGGTCTTATTGATGAGAGTGAGATAATATTATCCTAATGTGTTTTCTAATAAAGAAGTGAAAAGGCACATTTGATTCCAACATTTATGAAAACATTATCTCAATTATTAATGTGCTCTTTTCCCTTGAGATAAATTAATCTAGTTGCACATGGTTTCCCCTTTCTGCTTAACATCAGAACTTAATATGACTGGACCTGAGGAATGTACACAGTGGATACTTAAAATTCTACTGGAATACAACACGGAAGTTTAAAAGAAAGTTACATTTTCAGATAGGCTAGAATTACTCAGGCCTTTCAACTCAAAGTCTGATTTGACAAGAAATTTTAGCAACAATGACAAAATAAATCGTACTTATTTTCACCCTAAAAAATCGTTCCGCTAATTGGAATCATGTAATGAGTGACTTGTTAGAATTACTGTCAAGGTACCAGGAAGGGAGTCAATGTTGCAGAACGCGTCCTTCTCTTTCCTCGAGTGAGTCTGAGTGTCTCATTGTCCCGTGTGCTGTGTGGAAACTTTTGTTGTTTTTTCAAGGGGAATAACATAATATGGTTCTTTCTGTGGTTTGATTTTGTGCCATAATATTGTAGATTTCATAAGAGTTTTGCTTTTAAGCAAATAGTCTATTTTTCATCATTACCGTTTAACTCAGGTCAAAAGACATTAATAAAAGCCAGTATTAAAAATATATTACATGTTGCTGCATGTTTATATTTCAAAACATCATAGGTAATTGGTACTAGAAAGAAATGAATTGATTTTATATTTTAAATGTATTTTATATGTCTCTATAAATGACCCAATTCCATTTCTGGTACTGTACTCATTTGTATATACTTACATGTGGAAAAAACATTTAGAATTAATTATTTTAGATTAAAGGAATTTTTAAAGTAAATGAAAATCATTTAAAAATTGTTCCAGTGATAGTACTGCAATTACATACTTTATATTTTGTTTTATAGACTCTGACTCATTTTGGCTTGGCTCATCAAAACACCAGGGGACAGAATTATGTGGCTGTCATAGTTACATTGAAGTAAAAATTGTGTTTCTTAGTAATTTATCATTTAATATACTAGACTGCTTGTCAGCTTGGTTTTGAATATGTCATTTCCATGAAATCCAAATAATTTCTCCAAAAAAGTAAACCATAGTAATGTTACTATTATGTTTTAAGTTATGCGGGGTAACAGCTGG